GTCGGAGACCTGCTTGGCCGCGCTGGCGCAGACCTGGCAGGGGTCGCAGCTCAGGTCGACGATGCCGTCGGGGCAGGTGGACAGCGCCAGGTACTGCGAGGTCAGCGTCTCCATGCCGATGCGCGACAGGAACAGCCGATCCAGGAAGCTGTCGATGAACGCGCCTGGGCCGGTCGGGTCGATCACCCGAGGCCCGGAGTGATTTTCTTGGGGGAAAACAAAAAACAACCATGGGGGGCGGGAGATTGAGCTACAAGCAACCTGGAGGGACACCCATAAACGGAGGTTACTGAAAAGTGGTCCATAGACGATCTTTACCCAAGTCCCAACCCATTGGGACAAAGCGAAGGGGCTGCTAAAATGAACCCAAGTGTTTAGATTAGGAACCTCGGGTGTCTTGCGAAATCAGGACCCCCCCAGCTGGGTGGTTTCGTTTTGGTCTCTCTTTAAGCCACACCCAAATTTGATGCGTCTGATAATGAACTCGCCATTTGGGCTTCATGTTGTTTGAAACTCACATGAATGTGTCGCCAAATAAATGGGGGAGGCAGCACTGGAATGCTTGATGCTTCTTTGGCGTTCCCTCCAATCAACCATTTTAGAAAGGAAGCTTTCTCTAAAAACACCATACTTGCCCCCCAACATCACCCTGCTTAGACTTCCTTTCAATCGGACCGTGGCAAAGTGGACGCGGATTCTGTTCCATTTCCACCAGCCTCAACCAGCGGTTTCTCCTAAGATGGAGCTCTTTGACGAGCAAGAACGACGCTGCACTCTGATTTGGAGTGACATTTGTCCTCTGTCACATAGGCAACACGATACGGAGCCATCTGCATGGCTCGGATACGCGACACCAAAACCGGCGGCCCTCCACGTCTTCCTCTTGTGCGAGCGGCGGGTCTCTTCGGGCTGACCTTTGCCTCGTTGCAGCTCCTAGGCTTGTCGAAACGAATTCATGAAAAGGTTGCTTCCAGCTTTCAACAACGAAGGGCGACCCTTCTGCCACGTTCCCAAAGTAAGCCGTATGAAGCAAGGAGAACAAGCATGCAGGCTTCCGAGGGTCAAGCAACCAAAGGAAGGGCGAGCCTTCAAAACAGAAAGCAGAAATCCCGAACGTGGAGGTTTCCGTTGAGGGTTGAGGTTGGGAGAAAAGAGAATGATCTTCTGAGTGGGCATTTGAAAACATAAACCATAGCCAAGGGAGTGCGCAGAAACCCCGCGGAATCGCGAAGCCTGGGTTTTGGACTTTGCTATGTGGTTCCTGGGTAACCAAGATTACTACCCTCCCATCCACAAACATGGAACCTCACAAGGGTTCCTGGTTCAGATCATTTCCAAATTGAAAGCGACCCCTGTGCAGGTACTATGTTTGCTTTCCTGGGGGTAACTTGGCTAAACCCGAGACGTGACGAGCTGAGATCAAATGTCCAAGGGGCGCCCCAGGCCTTCATCCCCTGGGTCAAGCGCAGCGCGTGGTCCTGACTCTTGAAGGTATGGAGGCTTATATTGGTGGTAAACAAATATTCCTGCCTCCAACACACATACGTGAAGATGCCTTTGACATGGGGAAACCATTTTTTCCATTTTCAGAAAGACATCACCCCGCACGGTCCATTATGTGGTAGAACACGCCAATGATTTTTCATGGGTCCAGTCAAGAATCATCTCAGTGACTCCCCATGTCAGACATTTTCTTTTGAATGGGATGGCCTCTGTTTCTTTTAAGCCGAAAGCGACCACTCTGTTTCCCTGACTTCCCATCTTGCCCCGCAAAACATCCGAAACTTGTGCTCCATCCGGGCACGCGCACAGGGTGGGGCCTTGGAGGGGCCGAAACAGGTCGAGTTTGATGTGTTTGAGGGTAGTCTTTTTTGGGGTTTGGTTTGAATGGACACCAGTTTGCCGTTTCTCTTTTTCAGAGACAAACCTACACAGGGATTTGGTCTTTGTAAAAATGGTGGCTTTGCCATTGGTCTCGCTGCTTTTTCTAAGGTGAAACGGGTTCTCTCAAACAAACACACCCATTTGGGTGTGTTAGGCTTTGTTGTAGGGAGCCCCCCAAAGGTGGTGTTCCTTTTGGCTTCCCATTAAAACCACAAAAACGCATACCGTCAGGGACAAAAAAAACATAGACCCATTTGGGGAACCCGGACAATGCGCTTTGGCCACGGACTTCGGTACAAGAACTGGAAGCGCGCGCCTCGTTGCGCTTCTTGAAGCGCCGGATGACCCCGGCGAAGTTCTCGGGTGTGGCTGTCCGGACCTGAGGCTTGGGTTAGCTTGCTGACCCACGTGTGTCCTAGGGCATTGGAGTTCCATGCTTTCAAAGCCGACACTACCTAGAACCCGTTTATAGTGGGAAGCTTCATCTTCCCTGGAGCTGGCCAGGCGCATTTCCAAAAGATCGAACAGCCCGTAGCGAAACAATCTGAGAACCCTATCTGACGGGTGGAAACAAAAAGGGTCAGGGGAACCACACATCCCCCAACCCCCAGACCTCCTGCCAGACCTCCTGCCAGCCCCCCAGACCTCCCCCAGACCTCCCCCCACCTCCCCCCAACCCAGCCAAATCCAGCCAAACCCAGCCAAACCCAGCCAAACCCAGGCAAACCCAGCCAAACCCCCCCAAAACCCAACCTCCCCCTAACCCCAGCCAAACCATAATTGAGCTTTCTCCCTCCATGCCCTCCCCAAACCCATGGCCCCCACCCCCCGAAACGTCGACATCGCCGCCCCCCGCGCCTCTTCGAAGGCGGCCGCGAAGTCTTGACGCACGGAGCGGATGTCCCGCACCGCCTGCCACCGAGTCGTTTCGACTTCGGCGACCGATTCGGGCGAAGCCCCCAAAAGGCCAGGGATTCAAGTTGAACCCCGGGTTCGGAGGTCACCAACACCTTTCCACACTTTCAAAACCAAGGGGGGAAGGGGGGTTTGGGGGGGGAGGAAACATGCTTGCGACAAGATTTTGTGACCTACTTTAGCGGCGACTGGGATCCACTACGTGAGTCAAAAACGTGGCCGGATCCCTCAAACATTCTTCTAGGCCGGGGTAAGTGGGCCGATGCCTCAGCCGAAGTGAACGCGACCGGGCTCTGCTGCTCAAAAACCAAATGACCTGATATTCAAGTGGTCTACCAAGTATTGCCCTTCCCCAACCCACGATGTAAGGCACAGTCATAACCCACTAGTATCATTACTGTTCTAACTGGCCCCTTGTAGATTGTGGGGGCTATGATGCAAACCCACAATGTGAGGCACAATCAAAACCTATTATCTTACCTAGGCCTATGGTCAGAACTGGCTTAAATGGCTTTGTCTCCAAGCAGGGAGCCCTCTGAATGAACTTCGGAGTTGGGCAGCAAACGCTTGGTGGTTCTTTCGCTTCACTTCGCCTGCAAAACCGTCGACCTTCCGACCTTCCAACACTCAGTGCTTTCGTGTTTCGCTTTTGTGGAGGAACACAGAGAGAGAGAGAGAGAGAGGAACAGGAAGAAAAAGTCGAAGACAAAGAGGAGGATAAAGTGAAGGGGAAAGAAAAAAACACAGCGACAAAAAGAGAAAAACAGGAAGAGATAAAACAAGCAAGCAAGCAAGAAAGAAAGGACGTAGAGAAAGGCAACAACAAATAGATAAAGACAAGACAGAAAGAAGGAAAGAAGGAAAGAAGGAAAGAAGGAAAGAAGGAAAGAAGGAAAGAAGGAAAGAAGGAAACAAGGAAAGCAGGAAACAAGGAAGGAAGAAAAGAAGGAAAGAAGGAAAGAAGGAAAGAAGGAAAGAAGGAAGGAAGGAAGGAAAGAAAGAAAGAAGGAAAGAAGGAAGGAAGGAAGGAAGGAAGGAAGGAAAGAAAGAAAGAACGAAAGAAAGAAAGAAAGAACGAAAGAAAGAAAGAAGGAAAGAAGGAAGGAAGGAAGGAAGGAAGGAAAGAAAGAAAGAACGAAAGAAAGAAGGAAAGAAGGAAGGAAGGAAGGAAGGAAGGAAGGAAGGAAAGAAAGAACGAAAGAAAGAAAGAAAGAAAGAACGAAAGAAAGAAAGAAGGAAAGAAGGAAAGAAGGAAGGAAGGAAGGAAGGAAAGAAAGAAAGAAAGAACGAAAGAAAGAAGGAAAGAAGGAAGGAAGGAAGGAAGGAAGGAAAGAAAGAAAGAACGAAAGAAAGAAAGAAAGAAAGAACGAAAGAAAGAAAGAAGGAAAGAAGGAAAGAAGGAAGGAAGGAAGGAAGGAAGGAAAGAAAGAAAGAAAGAAAGAAAGAAGGAAAGAAGGAAGGAAGGAAGGAAGGAAAGAAAGAACGAAAGAAAGAAAGAAAGAAAGAAAGAAGGAAAGAAGGAAAGAAGGAAGGAAGGAAGGAAAGAAAGAAAGAAAGAAAGAAGGAAAGAAGGAAGGAAGGAAGGAAGGAAGGAAAGAAAGAAAGAACGAAAGAAAGAAAGAAAGAACGAAAGAAAGAAAGAAGGAAAGAAGGAAAGAAGGAAGGAAGGAAGGAAGGAAGGAAAGAAAGAAAGAAAGATATAAAGAACAAAAGAAAGAACGAAAGACATGTTTCTTTGTTGCTTTATTTCAGTCTGTTTTATTTATGTGTGTATGGCTCTTTCGTTATTTATTTCCTTCTTTCCTGATTTCTTTCTTTGTTTATTAAGTTCTTTCATTCGGTGGTATTTCCTTTCTGTCTGTCTTTCGTTCTTTCTTTTGTTCTTTATATCTTTCTTGATATCTTTCTTTCTGTCTGTCTGTCTTTCTTTCTTTCTTTCTTTCTTTCTTTCTGTCTGTCTTTTTTCCGTTCATTATGTCTTTCGTTCTTTCTTTCTTTCTTTCTTTCTTTCTTTCTTTCTTTCTTATACTGGTATCAACACATCAATGCTGAGACTGTGGTCGCGGTGCTCTTGCATGGAGGCAAATCATGTTCGCTTCGCTTCACCAAAGGATCCACCCGGGCAGCCCACAAATTTGCCATAATGCTGCTGCAAACAGCATCTGCGAAGATTCTGGACGATTCTGCGAATTCTGCGAGACCTTTGTAACATGTCAGTTTGCCAAACAGGAACGCCTTTCGGGATTTGGTTACGGATTCAAAATGGACATGGGCAATTTAGTGCTCCCTTCGTTTTTTTGCGGCTGAAACTTGCAGGTCCAATGTCCCTCCCAAACTAGGCCACTGAACATGGGCGCGCCTTTCTTCAAACCAAGGTGAGACTACGGGCCCATGGTCCGAGTTCCCCAAATTGGGTTTCTAACCCGTTTCACCCTGATTTAAAGGGAGACCCATAACACCGCCAGAATAGGCTCGAAATCCTTATTTGAGATCGCAAAGTAGGACCCCCAAAATAAATTGTGCTTTTTCCTTTGGTTTCCCCAAAGGGCACTCCCCCCCCCAACAAAAAGAGGCGGACCCCCCATCTCTCTAGGAGTTGATTCCCTATTATTTTCAACCATCGTTCTGTTCAAAAACAACCAGCTATGTTTCCCTGTTGTTTTTTCTTTTTATTTTTTTCTCCTGAAAAGAAGGATCCCTGGAAAGAAATGAATGGTGTTTTTTCCTTGGGTGTTTTCCCAAAGGAAACTCCCCAAACAAAACAAGGGGGCGGACCCGCCATCTCGCAAAATTTCTCACCGGGAGTTCGGGCGTCCGCCTCCAAGTCTGGCAGGTTGTCCAGGTGGGCGATGCGGTTGGCCAGTCGCACTGGCAGCTCCTCCTCGCGGAATGTCGCGGAGGACACATTTGGCGGTGCGTCAAAAATATGTACCCAAAATGGAACCCTGGTAAATGGAAACGACTAAAAAAAGGGCATGCGGTGTGCTGGCGAACTTTTGAGCCACCAAACGACAGGGCTGTGGGTCAAACATGTGTACCCAAAATGGAACCCTGGTAAATGGAAAAAAGACTAAACCTGCGGTCTTCGAATGGTTTAATCTTTTGACCCATACCCATGTCATGAATCCAACTCCAAACACAAAACGCCGCAAGGTCTACGGAACACTTCGGCTGGGGCCTCATGGTTTTACAAAGTCACCCCCGAAATGTTTCATCGGACTAAACCTGCGGTCTTCTAGTGGTTTGATTTTGGCCCATAGTCGACAGAGACGAGAAATGGGTCAAAATTAAACCACGGGGACCGCAGATTTTAGTCCATGTTTCCATTTACCAGGGTTGTACCTTGAGGCAGAATAGGTTCTCCAGTGGATTTCCGAGGAAAAAGGGCATTCATTATCTTTTTGAAGACATTATTTTAGCGGCCCCCCCCTCCAACATGGAAAGAAGGAAGCAATTCGCTGGAGCGGGTACTCTGCCCCAAAAAAATTCAACCACCGTGCAGTTTGGGATGGAACCCCAAAGCTCCCACGGCGCCTGCAGGATGGAGCGCAGCCCTTCTTGCGTCTTCATGGCCTTGCGAAGGCCGAGAGAAGTGCTTCCCCGAGCGGATGGGACGGGTTTGGCCCGCTGGTCCTCCCGAAGCCAACAGTAACTCATAGTCGACTCGCCTGACATTTCAAACCTCCAAACCACGGCTGGGAGTGGGAAATTTGGGACAGGTCCTCCCGAAACCGATAACCCACCAATCATAGTTTGCACCGCAAGTGTTCAAACATGAAGTTGTTTTTTGGAAACCTCCTGATCTCCTAATTCCGAAAGTCGAACATCAGCAACTGAGTATGTCTCAAGAATAAGGGGACGCCCCAAAAAAAGGTAGTTGTCCTTTTGGTTCTCCCGAAAAGGGTACCCTTCGTCTCAAAAAACACACGCGTCCTTACGCAAGTCTTCGAACGCCTGAAATTCGCTGCTCTTCAGCTGCAGCCAAGCTGCCAGGATCTCTGTTAGCCGAAGAGCTGTAGGCTGTCTCCTGTGATTCTTGCCAGAAACTGGTCACAACTATGCCAAAAACAAACCGAGAGTCGGCCCCAAAAAGACTGGGAGCTTTAGGTCTTCCTGCTAATTCCCTTTAAAACCAACCTTAGAACGTTACATGACACATAACATAATATACATATATACATATATATATATAGCTATCCCCTCCCCAAAGATCGACCATTTTCTGCGTTTTGAGAAAGATGCGGCGCGTTATTGCAAGAAACAGATGTGCATATGCTGGGGTCGACATTCAAGTGCAGTGTTGTTGAGGACGGTTGCAAAATTGCGCGCCTGCCAGGGCTGCAACACTGCAAGGCTTTGCAAAACTGCAGCCCCTGGCAACCTGAAGTTTCAAGACTTCAAGAGTTTCCAAGACACTGCCCAAGCAAAGCTGCCGAACTACAGACCTGGCAAAGCAAGTCTGCTAAACTGCAGGCGCTGCAGGCCTTGGTTGCAAACAGGCTTGGCGGGGCTGCTCCACCACTGCAAGGCTTTGCACAACTGCAACCCCTACCAACCTGCCAAAGCACTGCCCAAGCAAAGGTGCCAAACTACAGACCTGGCAAGGTTGCAAAATTGCCAACCTGCAAGGTTCCACACTGTAGGGCCAGCTCCAACACTGCAAGGCTTTCCAAGCAAGTCTGCTAAACTGCAGGGCCCTGGCAAGGTTGCAAAATTGCCAACCTGCAAGGGCTCCAACACTGCAGGGTTGCAAAACTACAGCCCTTGCCAACCTTGCCAACCTGCCAAAGTTTCAACACTCCAGGCTTCCCACTTGCTGCAAGGTTTGCCAAACTACAAATAAGGCTGCAAAATCCAAACTGCAAGGCTCCAACACTGCAGGCACACCCAACTGCAAGGCTTTTCAAGCCTGCCAAGCAGTCTGCTAAACTGCAGAGCAAGGTTGCAAACTACAACCTCTTGCTAACTCAACACTGCAAGACTTCCCAGGCAAGGCTGCCAAACTACAGACCTGGAGGTTGCAAAATTGCCAATCCAATCTGCAACCAACTGCACCAACACTGAACTACAGACAAGCGAGTTCAAACAGAAGTTCCAACACAGGCCTGTTTGCAAAACAAACTTGGGAGCTCTGTCTGCCAAAGCTCCCACGCTGCAAGGAAGGCTTGAAACATTCCACAATTTCCAGCAAGGCTGCCAATCTCAGGGCAAGGCTGCAATAAACTGCAACCTGCCAACCTGCCAAGTTTCAATACCCTGGCAAGGGTTCTTGCCACCTGCTACAAGACTTCCACCACCAAACTGGCACTTCCAGCACACTGCCCAAGCAAGCTGCCAAACTGGGTTCCAGCTCAAAACTGCAACCCACTTGGCAAGAGTTGAACACTAAGGCCACTGCAAGACTTGAGCGCCTCACCTGCCAAAGTTTCAACACTGCAGGCTTCCCTCCTGGCAAGGCTGCCAAACCACAGGCAAGCAAGGCATTTCCAACAAGAGTTCCAACACTGCAGGCCTTGGTTGCAATACAGACTTGGCAGGGCTGCAAAACTGCAGCTCTGTACGCCAAAGCTCCAACACTGCAAGGAAGATGCTCAGGGGCGAAGGGCAAGAAACCCATGAAGCTGCAAAACCTCGAAGAAATCAAACAAATCTAAAAAAAACAAAAAATCAGGGTCCTGGGAGAGAATGCCCAGGTCAGAATCTGGAAAAGTGAAAAACCTCGAGAAAATAAAATAAAACAATAAAATCAAAAAACAAGGCCTTGAGAGAGATAGTCACTGGGTCTGGGCATTCTGTTCCAGGACCTTGATTTTTTTAAAATTTCTTCGAGGTTTATTCACTTTCCGAGATTCTGACCTGGGCATTCTCCCAGGACCCTGATTTTTTTGTTTGTTTTTGATTTCTTCGGGTTTTTTCAACATGTTCATCCTGTGCAGCCAAAAGGCAGATGCAAGATGAAGTTGGGAAGCCAGACGCCCGAGACCTTGCAGATTCTGGGATGTCACCAGAGATAAAACACAGAAAATGGTCGATCTTTGGGGGGGGGGGGTACCATATATTTATATATATATTTTTATATTTCCAAGGCCTTGGCCATGCCCACGTGAATACCCTGAAACAAACCGGACTTCACGGCACCGCCTTCCCACCGACGCCCGTCCCCGCGAACTCGGCCAGCTCGCCGCCCAAGGCCACATGCCCAGCTCGCAGCCCGAGAGGCCTGCGACTCGCAGGGTGGGCTTCGGCGGGGCGGCTGCTCGGCTTTTCCATGGCTCAGAATGAAACCATCAGGATATGGACCGCAGGTAGTCTACTCCATTCACCAAAAGTCCATGGGTACAGCCATTTGAGTGGGGAAGAATCTGAGGCCCGGGAAATTTGCACACCAAGTGAGTCATAAGCAAGACCTTATGAAAATGGTCGACCCAGAAACGTGTAAAGAACTAAGAAGGCGCATATCCGCAGCTATTTAGAGTTGGGATTGTCCCTTACTCACCTTCATCAATCCCCGTGTTTGGAGCACGCCCATTTTTGGGCAAGGACTTGGAGATCGAGCGCCTTGAGGCCAAAAAGTTCCCATGACTTTAGGCACTACGTCTTGGATCCCTGTGATTCAGGCTTGCCTCACTTGGGCTTCTTGGCAACCACAAGTCGGAGCACTTTGAAGTAAACTTTGAAAGGGCCATTTTTAGAAGCGAGCAACATTTAGAGAAGCCAACCCGTTGCTGCTGATCTTTTGCGGTCTTTTCTCTCATGTTGAAACACGAGAGTTGCACCCGAGTCCAACTTTGAATCCACTCCCAATTGACCTCTGAGCGTTGCACACTCGAAGTGAATCTATAAGAAGCTGCGCTCTAGCCATGACCAAAGGGGTCAATCCCGGAACCGCAATGGAAATGCAGGGTGTCCAGAAACACAAATCTCGATATGGATTTCCCCGTGGCGAGTGACATTGGAAAACGCAACGCGCAGACTCGCAGTGCTCCACCCGTTTTGCCGTGCGTGAGCCAACTCTTGGTCGGCTTCATGGAGGCCTTCTATACCTCGCCCAGCTGGGAGTGTCTGTCTGCTGAGAGATGTTTTAACCCATTTTTTGGGCTTGGCTTAGTGGTCTTGGGATCTGCTGAGTTATTTTTTGGGCTTGGCTTAAATTTGGACACCACCAGGACACCCTTCTGCATTTCGGGGGTTTGAGCCAGTTGACGTCGCGTGGCGTCGGGCAGACCACCCCCGGCCCCCCCTTTCGGCTGCCAATCCGCGCCTGGAGCCCGAGCCCAAAGAGCCCAAAGAGCCGCTCTTGGCGCCCAGGATGGAGCCATCCTCGGGGATTGTCGGATCTTTTCACGGTGCTGCAGATCCCCCAGCAAAAAGCTTGGTGAAACCACTTGTTGCAGGTTAACAGGAAATCTGAGGGGAATCCCAAAAGTGAAAGTCTCAAGATCCAAGCCAATAGCAGAGCCGCCCAGCGAACTGCGAACTGCGAGGAACACCCAAGGAACACGAGGATTCTCCCCTTTCGCCAATGGACATTGATAAGACTTGTGACTCGGAGGGGTTGCTTCTTTTCAGGGGAGCCTTTGAGTCGAGCATTGTGAATGGCCCACTTCCAGGTGGCATTGGTGAGCGTTCTCCATGGCCTCCTCACAGAACCAAACATTGCGCCATAGGTGAACGCATGCGAAACAGAGATCACTTCTGCTTGGGACGAGCACAAAAACATGCGAAACAGGACGTTGTCGCCATTTACTCCATTTCTGGACTCAAATCATGCTCGCATTTGTGTGAATGCAGGCGTGGAATTTCATGCTTTCAACTTGCCCACTGCACTCACATAGGAGTTGCAGTGCAACCAATTCAACCTGATGGGAGACCTACGCAGTCATTCAGCATGACTCACCGCCTTGACACTCCCAAGCCTTGAGACAGGTTGGAATGCAAGCGATGAAGGCTCAGATGCGCCCATGGTTCAGATCTGTGTATGATGCTACATGATTTAGTGCAAGCTGGTTCATTAGAACCTGATTCGGGTCCCTGGCTGCCATGTTCAACCCACCAGGGTTCCATTGTCGATGACCCCAAGGTAGACTTAAACCGGTGCTTGATTTCAACTTCGAGTCCACGTCTTGCGGGGCAGTCAAAAACGGCTCGGACAGCCCTTCACGGCACCACCATCTGCTTGGAACCAAAGCTCCAAACGCCAAAACACAAGAAACACAAAACCACGGAAACCACGAAAACCACAGCATTGCCCTGGAGATCCTGGCGCATTGACCCTGCAAAGGGGGAACTAAAGACCACCATGCCAAACATCCGAGCTCGTTGCAACCTTGAAACCCGCCAAAATAACCACCAAAACCAGCCATACCACCCAACCCCAAGCCAAAATCTACCACCACCTGAGACCACTTTCCGCCAAACCTTGAAACCCGCCAACCACCAAAGCCAGCCACCCCATACCTCTCACCTGGTTCGCTCACATGTCCGGGCGGCCGAGATGGACGCGTCCAGCTCTGTGGGCCAAAAGGGCGCCACGGAGCTGGCGCTTCGCCCGCCCCGCGCGCCGCGGGAGCCGCTCAGACGGCCTGCGCGGCCCGAGGAAGAGAGGTCGACCAACATGGATTCCCCATTTCCCCCCCTCGAAACTAAAGCCCCGAAAAAGTGGAGGCGCCCATAAAATGAGTTGCGGTCCATCGTGCTCAAGGAGTCCACAATGCTTTTGCTGATGTCAAAGTAGGACCTGCCCGATGCTGGCTGGCAACCCTTGCCTCGTGCGAAGCTGCGCCGCAAAGCTCCGGCTGCATCCATCACAGCGCGGAGCTTTACCGTGACTCACGCTCAGCTCTGGGGTAAAAGCCGCTCGCACCAGTTCGGCATACAAAGGCAAACAAGTTGACCTGAGCTGCTCTTGTGGAGCGTGCGACATCACATGCCCAGTTCAGCTGTAGTGGACACAGATAAGCATAAGTCTGTGCGCAAACACAAACACACACGCACACACACACATATACATATATATATATATATGTACATATTCACATGTGTACGCATTCAAATGTGTACATGTATACTAGGCGACAAATATGTATATATATATATATGTAACATGTATGCTATACACACGTACACTAATATACCATTCAATGCATGCACACACGTACACGTGTTGCACAACCATGTCGGTTTACTGAAGCTGGCTGCGGAAAGAACAAGTCTGGCACAAAGCAGCTACCTCACGCAGGGCTACTCCAAAGACCTCGTAGAAGGTTGGTCCGAAGACAAGGACCTCTTTGGTAACTTGTCCTGCCCAACTGCCGTATCATCTTTTGGGAACGACGCATCAGGATGAAGGGAAGCTGCCCCATCAGAAAGACTGCCATCAGAATGGGTTCAGAAGGGGCGCCATAAGGTTTAATTGAAATGAAACGACCCAAAAGTGGTTTGGTCATAAGGTTCAGAGCAATGCGAATCCTCCGAGTCAAGCGGAAGAGCTGCCAGCTCCTCAACGCCTTGGCGATGTTGGGATAAGAGCGCGGAATTGTCACAGCCGAAGAATTGCTGGTCACGATCGATGCGTTTTATCTTGTTTCCCCCAAGGGGACATGGACAAATTGGCGCCCCTCGCTGTTGGAATTGAAATTTAGTGAGCGACAATTATAGATTGGGCACAAATTAGCTCGCAAACCCATGCGCAAACACTCCAAGCAACCCCCTTGGGCTGTGGCGTGCTTGCACTGCGAGCACCTATCAAATCAGCAATTCAATCACGACACATGCCACGCTGCCACGCATGGATGCAACCTCTACATGCCCAGACACGGAAGTGCTCGTGGCAAAGCACGAAACGCAAAGCAAAGCCAACGCAACTGGCTGTGGTTCAAAAATGGGTACACTGGGTACCCGAATGGAACCCTGAATGGAAACATGGGCCAAAACCTGCGGTCCATCTGGTGCTTGGGCAAAATTAACCACCCATTCCCATTTCTCGTCTCTGTGACTATGGGCCAAAATTAACCAGTAGAAGACCGCAGGTTTAGTCCTTGTTTAACCATTTACCAGGAAAAGACGAAGGCTGATGGCCCACTTTCAAAAGTCCGGTAGCGAAGGCCTCCGTCTCCACCGCCGCAAGTTGAGAGAGAGCACCTTGACTTTGAACCTCAAGTGGTTTCTGTAGCAGCGATCCGCAATTAAACATTAAAAACAAAAAAACAAGAAAAACAAGCAAGAAAAACAAACAAGGAGGGATGTAAGGGAAGCCCACACCAAGCGTTTGGAGGTCTGTGTCTTTCTGGACTTCTATATTTCACAAAGCAGAAGTGGTTGAAATCCCTAAGGAACCTTCATGGGTGAGCTCAAACCTCCGAATCGCTGGGCTTGTTTGGGACACTCAATCACACTTGGGCCACAAGGTGATGTCTATACAACCCATCCGCAACGGAAAGAATAAAGACCCACGATACAATATGGTGGTGCCTTGAAATCAGGCACCAAAAGTATTTTACCTGTTTCCTTTTTGGTTTCCCCCTTTAAACCCAACCAACAAGATGCGGGAACCCCAACAAACCAGTTCACACCCAGATCGAGGCGGAAGCCAAGTGCCCGGCGCTGTACCAGCGTGGCACTTCTCGCGGCTGCCGCCGCACCACTTCCTATGCGTGACATACCGCAGGAAGCTTCTTCCCAACGACACCCGCCTCCATTTTGTTTGGCTGTCGGAGTCTTCCCCAACAACACAAAACGTGTTTGGCGTGCGTTCGGCGTGTGTGTGTGTGTCTCTGTGTCTCTGTGTCTCTGTGTCTCTGTGTCTCTGTGTCTCTGTGTCTCTGTGTCTCTGTGTCTCTGTGTCTCTGTGTCTCTGTGTCTGTGTCTCTGTGTCTCTGTGTCTCTGTGTCTCTGTGTCTCTGTGTCTCTGTGTCTCTGTCTCTGTGTCTCTGTGTGTCTCTGTGTCTCTGTGTCTCTGTGTCTCTGTGTCTCTGTGTCTCTGTGTCTCTGTGTCTCTGTGTCTCTGTGTCTCTGTGTCTCTGTGTCTCTGTGTCTCTGTGTCTCTGTGTCTCTGTGTCTCTGTGTCTCGTGTGTGTGTGTGTGTGTGTGTGTGTGTGTGTGTGTGTGTGTGTGTGTGTGTGTGTGTGTGTGTGTGTGTGTGTGTGTGTGTGTGTGTGTGTGTGTGTGTGTGTGTGTGTGTGTGTGTGTGTGTGTGTGTGTGTGTGTGTTTGTGTGTGTTTGTGTGTGTTTGCAGGTCGCCCCAAAGGTGTGAGACAGCAAGAAGTTTGACGGGATTTTTCCACCGGACAGACACCATGGAGATATTTGTCCGCCGCTTGTGAGGGTGTTCCAACCAGGAAAAGGAGTCTCAAAATGAGGGACCCCTAATTATGGTGATCCAACCAAAAGGGGATCCCCCCCCCAAAAAAAAAAGAAAAAGAAGAAGATAGGCACGCACACCAGAAAGACAGCATCGCCACAGGGCAGTGACCAGCCTCATCCGTCTCCGGCCTGACCAGGCACGTTCCGTGGCTGCACTCTTCACAAACGAATGTTCAAAGGGAATCACGAGCATCCCTTTTCGGATGCAAAGCCCCTTCAAGAAAAGGCGACAAAGGGCACTGTGCCAGGTGTCTGGGTCAAAATGAAATACAACATGGTGGTTTCCTGGTCATCTGACGGCTTGGCTCCCTTTCCGAGGCCAGGGTCAAAATCCTGGTGGTTCATTCCCCCCAAAAGGCGAATTTCTGGGCGTTCCGCATATCTTGGGGCAGTCAGAAAGTGGCAACCCGAGGCAACTCCTGCGAACGCGCGCGCGCGCCCCTCCTGGACTTCGTGGCATTGGCTGCGACCTGCGATTGCGATGGGCTCCAGTAAATTTTGGTTCGAGCGGCCACTAGCTCAGGGCAACGCGCCACCGGAGAGGTATCAAACACGAAACACATCTTCTGGTTCTGAAGGAGCAAATTCGCGCTGATTCTCCTGTGAACATACACCTCTCCTCAATTTCAGAAGACTTGATTACTCGAATGTGCATGTTCTTTAAAATACGGACTTGGTTTTGTGCCGTCTCTTAACCACAATGGCACTAACATTTAGGCTCACGGCGAATTCCCGAGTCGAGCATGTGCTGAAGCAAGAGAAGCTTCACTGCCTCTTTACTCTCTTCACAACTCCGAACCCGAATTAAATTTGAGCTCATCTTGCTTTCAAGTGAATTAAGTGCACGCACGGAGCAGTGCATGATCTCACTGAACCAGTGCTGCTCTGCCATTTGCTTCACCAAACTCATTACTAACTCGCAATGGACACGCACACACACACACACACAACACCTGCATCGCAAAGAAAGCCCATTGCTCGTGGTTCTCCAAATTGATGTTTGTCTCTTAGGTGCTGCGCGAGGTCCAATGTTCATCTGTTGGAAGCTCTCAGTACCCGTACCACCCACCACTCGCAGCACAAATATTCAAGCTCTCAATTACTTCCACTGCATATTGCACCAGTACCACCCACCCCTCGCAGAAAGCAACAGCCTCTTGTGTTGAGGCAGGCGACTGCGCGCAGGCCTTGAAGACACTCGGCACACGTGGACTCGTCGCAAAAGAGGGATCGGAGTGCTGCTACCAGCGAACTGGTGTAAACCCAAGTGCCCCGTTTTGTTTTGTCCCCCCTCTAAAGCTTCCTTTTTGTTTCTCTCCCTTTACAAGTAAAAGTCCCCGGGCCCAGTTCTTTGATGGACAAATCTCGGCCAACTCCTCGCGCAGTCTGGGGGCTGGGCCTTGCTATTCACGTTCCGCGGCGCAGAGCTGGCAGGCTCTTCTTTTCGGGGTGCCCCCAACATGGCTCCACGGCTTTCCCTTTGGGCTCACTCGATAAAACAACCAAAAAGGGGGGAAAAGGAAATACCAGCTCCGAGTTAGGCGAGCCACCCATCTGGTTCATTACGCTGGACCAGGGGTTGGGTGTTTCCATCAACTCTCGCAGTAGGCCCAAGGCTGGGAAAATCCCCTCATTTTCCGCACGCGAGACACCGCCAGGGACACCACAGAATCCATCTGGCATAAGGACTATGGCCTCCTGAAAACGCTCCAATCCTTGAAGCGAGCCCAGCGTCTGTGGAATGGAACAGACAACGCCTGAATAAACAAACCAATGAGTAAAACCTGTGAGCAATCGGAACCTACAACTACAGGACACCTGAAACGTATCCCAAACCAAAAGGTCATAGCTCCGGCATATGGGATTTGACTTTTTGGGACGAGTTGGCATTTTCCGGGTTTTCCGGGATTTGCCCATTTTTTGGTCGGGTCGGTGTCAGCAAATACCCCTCGCGACTCGCGCCTGAGCCGCTCTTCCCGCAGCACCGCGGCGCCGGTGCGTCCCAGAGCGCCGCCTCCTCAGCGTTTGGGTGACTCGGATGTGAAAACAGATGGGTATGGGTCAAAATTAAACCACCAGGGGACCGCAGGTTTTAGTCCATGTTTCCATTTACCAGGGTTCTACTTTGGGCACTCATTTTTGACCCACACTCAGATGGCTTTCTGAGGTCAACATCAACTGGCAATCCAGAACCCGACTTCATGGAAACCAATTCTCCGGATGTGGAGCCAAGGCTGCACCGATTTGGGTTTCATCCTTTGCCACGTAAACGGGACTCGGTTTCACCCATAGAGCACGTGACTTGTCACTCTGATCCTATGCCGAGTGATTCTGTCAGTTTGACTGTGGAACCTGTCGCAACACACAGTGAACATGGACCATAGACCCCACAGGCACAACCACTGTATGAGAATCTGCTAAGGATCTGACCAGTGTCACTCCCA